ATGCATAATGACCCAGTTCTCTCACATCGCCTTCTGTTGTATTAAGCTCTTCCACAAAATAAATCACTCTGTAGATCTCTAATGACTGTCTACACACCCAATATCACATCACTGGGGACCTGTAATGATTGCATATACTGGTTGAAATCTGCACTGACTCAATCTGAAAGCCCTTTAAGGCCTCACTAATCTGTAAATGAAATGCCCAAATTGAATTGTACTCTTATTTCCTGCAGCCACTGCCAAGAGACATCACACAACTTTCAGCAGATAAAAACATCCAGAATACATGAAAAATTAAACCCATCTTAGACAGCCAGGCAGTGTGCCTCAATAATGCACTGAAATATCATCCTAGTCTACGTCTATATACTCAAATGCGGAGAGGAGGCTAAACGTTCAGTCCTTGAAGTTTGACCTGCAACTTTTAAGTCAGACAGAGGTCTGGAATTTGAAATCATTAAAATCTTCACATTATTGTCATTCAAAGATGGCTGCTATAATCATGTGACTGAACCTAGATATAGCCTTCCAGAAGCTTTTCAAAAGGCACCATTAACAGACAGCTAACAGCCACGTACTGTCCGATGAGTCTGAATTGTTAACTAATATAAAAAAAACCAGAAAACTGTTCTGAGGAAGGATCACTGAACCCAAAATGTTAACAATAATGTTTCTTCACAGATGCTGCCAGACCTGCTGGGCTTTTCCAGCAACTTCTGTTTTGTTCCTGAATTGTTAACTGTTGTGCACTTATCTGCTGCAGAGATGATCGGCTCCAAGAGAAACCCTCGCATAATGGCAGTTTAAGTCACACCCATCCTACAAGAATGTATTAATGACTTTCCACTTAACCTCTGGATATGGAACACAGATAGATGGCTATCTTCAAGGCATGCTTTTGTCTCAATGGTAGCAGCTTCTCTCCCAATAGGCTTAGTCATGTTGGCTCCAGAATTGAACTCAGCTGCCTTTTAACACATACAATGTTGTAACCACAGACAATTCAGAGATCAGCACTGCTCCATACAACATCTATTGACAATGTCAAAACCCCCGACGCCAGATTTCAAAAAGAAGCCTCTGGCCAAAGTAGCAACAATTTGTATTCATAGTATCATAGAATCCCTACAGTGTGGAAACAGGCCCTTCAGCTCAACAAGTCCACACTGACCCTCACAGCAACCCACCCAGACCCATCCACCTATAACCCACCTAAACCACACATCCCTGAACACTATGGGCAATTTAGCATGGCCAATCCACCTAGCCTGCACATCTTTGGACTGTGGGAGGAAACCGGAGCACCCAGAGAAAACCCATGCAGACATGGAGAGATCATGCAAATTCCACACAGACAGTCACCCAAGGGTAGAATGGAACCCAGGTCCCTGGCACTGTGAGGCAGCAGTGCTAACCACTGAGTCACTGTGCTGCCCCAGCAGGCCATCTGGTCCACACTAACCCTCCAAAGAGCATCCCATCCAGGCCCAACCCTCTACCCTATATTTCCCATGGTTAATCCACCTTGTCCACACATCCCTGAACAATTCAGCATGGCCAATCCACCTACCCACACATCTTTGGACTATGGAAGGAAACTAAAGCCTTATTTTATCAAAAGAGTGAAGCAAAAGTTACACTTCAGAAAATGCTCCTCAGAAGACTTGGACGCTTTTAAAGAAAAGAAACTGACTACAACTCTATAACTGTTGGTTAGTCAACCAACCATCCCAGAAAACAATTCCAATCCCTGTACACCTGCATTTCCCATCCACGAGGAGCTTGAACAGTTCATCAATTTTACTAACACCTTTCACCCCAACCTCAAGTTCACCTGGACCATCTCTGATACCTCTCTCTCCTTCCTGGACCCCTCTGTCCCCATCTGTAGTGAACGCCTCGAATCCGACATCTATTTCAGCTACCTAGACTAAACCCACCTTCCTGCAAGAATGTGATCCCCTACTCCCAATTCCTCCGCCTCCGCTGCGTCAGCTCCCAAGATGGGGCGTTCCACTCACGAACATCCCAGATGTCCTCTTCCCCTTCAGTGGTTGAAAATGCTCTCGACCGCACCTCTTACATTTCCCGCACCTCTGCCCTCACATCCCCTCCCCTCAACAAAAATAAAGATAGAATTCCCCTTGTCCTCCTACATCACCCCACTAACCTCCGGATTGAACATATCATTCTCCGCTACTTCCGCCACCTGCAATCTGACCCCATAACCAAGAATATATTTCCTTCCCCACCCCCAACTTGCCTTCCGTAGGGACCACCCTCTCCGTGACTCCCTTGTCCGCTCCACACTCCCCACTAGCCCCACCACACCCGACACCTTTACCCTCAACCGCAGGAAGTACTACACTTGCATCTTCACCTCCCCCCTCACCTCCATCCAAGGCACCAAACAAACCTTTCACATCTGACAGAGGTTCACCTGCACATCTGTCAACGTGGTCTATTGCATCCGCTGCTGCCGGTGTGGCCTCCTCTACATCGGGGAGACCAAGCGGAGGCTCAGAGACTGCTTTGTAGAGCGCCTGTGCTCTGTTTGTGACAAACGACAACACCTTCTGATCGCGAAACATTTCAACTCCCCCTCTCACTCCCTGGACGACATGTCCATCCTGGGCCTCCTCCAGTGTCACAATTTTCCTCCGGAAACTGGAGGAGCAGCACCTCATATTCCACCTTGGGACCCTACAACCCAATGGTCTCAATGTGGACTTTATCAATGTGGACTTTACCAGTTTCAAAATCTCACCACCACCGGCCTCATCCCATGACCAACCCTCCCTCTCATCCCCGTCTACTTGACCTGACACAACCTGTCCATCTTCTCTCCCAGCTATCCGCTCCTCCCACCTCACTAACCAATCCCCACCACTGCCTACCTGCATTCACCTATCACCATCCCAATTACCTTCCCCAGCCCCACACTTCCTCTCTATTTATTTCTGAGCTCCCTTCCCCCACCCCCATTTCTGAAGAAGGGTCCCGACCTGAAACATCAACTTTCCTGCTCCTCTGATGCTGCCTGGCCGCCTGTGTTGCTCCAACTCCACACTCATCTCTGACTGCAGCATCGGCAGTTCTTATTATCCCCAGACTGTTAAAATCTAGTTTTAGTCTTTTGGAATTCCATCTCAAAAGCAAGGACGTTTTTAAACTAAATAAAAACACCAAAGATCTGCAGATGCTGAAAATCATTTGTAGTTAAGTTGTTGCCAATTGAATAATCTCTTTATCGTTACAGATTCTAACTCCCCACGTATGTTTGTAAGCCTTTGTCCAATGGTGGCAAAATAAATGCAACTGTTGTTCTAACTTTATCACAGTGTTGTTACGGTCTTCACAAAGTCATAGCCCACAAACAGAGGGAATGGGAGAATTATGTTCCCACCATTTTAGAAAAACAGTGGGAAAAATCAATTCACAATGTTCTTACAGACAGGCGGTAAGAATGTGGGAGCAAAAGACCAGAGAAGTACAGATGCTGGAAATTAGAAAACGAAAACAGAAATTGCTGGGAAACCTCAGCAGGCCTGGCAGCATCTGTGGTGAGACCTGCTGAGTTTTTCCAAGAACACAGAGAGACTTGATCTAAAGCTTGTAATCTGTCTAACACATGTAATGTAAATGAAGCTTCTCCCACTCACACAAAGCTATGCCAACTGGAGAACTCTTTTCTTAATTATTCCTGACCATCCCTGCCAAGAGTTATCCCAGAACTTTGTTACATGACCCCTCCCTAATCTCCAATGAGTCATGAACACAGCCCAATCTATCACACAAACTAGCCTTCCATTCATTGACTTCATCTATACTTCCTGCTGCCTCAGGAAAGCAACTAACGTAATCGAAGATTCCTCCCACCCTGGTTATACTCTCTTCCATCATGCAGAAGATATAAAAGTTTGAATACAGGCATGAACAGCTTCAAGAACAGTTTCTTCCCCATTGTTGTTAGACTTTTGAACAGACCTCTCAAATGTTAATGTTGATCTCGCTCTCTGCACCTTCTCTGCAGCTGTCACACTGTATTCTGCATTTTATTCTGCTACTTGATGCAATTTGTATGGTATGATCTGTCTGTACAAAACCCAAAACAATATTTTTCACTGTATCTTGGTACATGTGACAACAATAAATCAAATCCAATTATTCATATGGCCCAGCAAGATGCCTCTGGATCCTTCCAAAGCAAGTTAGAGCCATGATTTTCAGTTCAATCCCCAACCTCAATCTCACCTGTTTCCTTTGCAAAACAGTTTGAGCTGTTCTAATGCAAGGTGGGCTATGATTGAAAAAGTACCCAAAACTGTGCAATAAACCTAATGGTGCTAATTGCTAGGATAGAATGATACATCAGTTAGAGATCTGGTTCACTAGAGACAGGAGTAGCTCATTAAGTTCAAGACAGTTCTGCTAACCTTAGAAGGACAAAATGCAACCACTTCCATTAAACTTTGAGCCTGTAATTGTTGAACCTACTGCACTGGCAGTGCTTGCTCAGCACATCCCACTTCATCAGACAATTGGCCAATGTTGGAATTTAAAGTGATGCTTGATGACGTGATTTGATACTATGACTGGATCAGTAGCATGGGATTTTGCACTCTCATATGAATTTGTGAGCACAACTGATTTTGTAAATGTTCAGATATTGATTCTGATACAGAAAGCAGCATGAGAGAATATTGCAGGAAATGGCATCATCAAGACAGCTACTTCATCGAGAGGAAATTCATGTTGCTGCCGTGACAGAAAGGTTAGGAGTACTATAATTTAGTGGATTAATAGAGAAGGCAGTTCTCAAACTCCTCCAGGAATATCAATTCAATTACTAATGAACCATATTAAAATGCAGCATACAAAGAATTCCACAATCAAGATAATATCAGTACTTAGTGAACTCAATACAATTTGTAATCATGTCGGTCATTCAATTCCAGCATTTTAATTTGTCAGCCAGCATGTGGAAGCTCACTCACCTGAGTCAGCAGATTGTAGATTTCAAGAAATACTGTGGATCCAGGATGACACTCCAGTGCAGTTCTGAAGCAGTGCTATGCTGTCAGAAGAGTCACCATTCAGATAAGACATTAAACCAAGACCCTATCTGCCCTTACAGGTCTTAAGCATAGTTCTAATTTCAAGAGGAGGGGGAATTCTCTCAGCATCTTAGTTTATCATTATTTAAACAGATTATCTACTCATTTGTCTCACTAATGTTAATGGAATCCTGTTATGCATAAATTAGCTATTGCATTTCTTACATTACCTGTAATGGCACTTCAAAAATATTTATTTGGGTGTAAACTCCTTTCAGATATCCTGAGGATATGAACACTGCTACATTTCCCATCTTTTTCCATTCAGTGTGGTGCTTGGCAACACAAGAGTGGGCACTGATAACTTGCTAGGCTACATCTGCAACATTCCGTACCAAAGGCTGAAGATTTCTGCATTGCAAGAGTGCACTGTGCTAAAAAAAGAGTCCCAGAAATTCTGAAATACTGAGTGATATAAATAGTGGCATGGGGTTGTGAGCAAACTGAGACTAAAATTATCCTGAGTTTGACTTTATCTCTTCTCAAGGCCTGAGCTACATCTGCCCCTAACTGCCAAACATAAATTGGTGATGTTCCTTCAAGACAGCTTCCTTGCGAACTACCAACTGGAGAAGGGGGGCATTCAGCCCCTCCAGCCTGCGATCGAGCTCAACAAGATCGAGCTCAACAAGATCGAGCTCAACAAGA